CCCAGGTGACCACAGATCCATCGCCCCGGATTGCAGCAAATGCAGCACCAGAAGCTTGGATCTGCTGCACATTCTTCAGCTGATCCTGCGCCGCACCGCTGTCGCCCCCATGGCCGGCATTGCCCCAGGTGACCACAGATCCATCGCCCCGGATTGCAGCAAATGCACCAAAAGAAGCTTGGATCTGCTGCACATCTCGCAGCTGATGCTGTACCGCACTGCTGTCGCCACCACAGCCGGCATTGCCCCAGGTGACTACAGATCCATCGCTCAGGAGCGCGGCGAACGCAGATGTGGTGGCGTGAAGCTGGACTTGGACTGGGTTCACATGCAGGGTGAGCACGTCTCCACTCCTCAACTTCGCTTCTGTGACAGTGTGTGCTCGATCAAGCACCTCTCCAGAAGAATTCAGCAGCAGTGCAAAGCGCGGGACCGCCAATTCACTCTGGGCACGGTGCTTCAATGACTCAACGGATGCATCCGCCTCCACTTCCATGGAGGCACTCTTGCCACTCAGCAGATAAACATCCACAGAGATCGACATGATGCTGCGTAGGGTGGTCGCTTGACACAAGATTTAAGAGGCAATACGATGTTACAGAACCTCCTCGAGCCAAGGAGAGAAAAACAAGTGCTCCCACATCTTCCAAGTATATAACCGCCTCAACCCTAAACAAACCCTAAACCCTAAACCCCAAGAACAAAACCCTAAACCCTAAACTCTCAACCCAAAACCCCCAAAACAGATTCGGACAACCGGCAGCTACCCGGTGGCCTTCAAAGCAACCTCTATCCACAGCTTTTCTGGCGAAGAAGCTTCTGCTTTCGAGCTATGGCTACTGGTCATCATTTAGGGTTAGGGGCTTAGGGTTTAGGGGTTTAGGGTTTAGGGGTTTAGGGGTTTAGGGTTTAGGGGTTTAGGGTTTAGGGGTTTGGGGTTTAGGGGTTTAGAGCTTAGGGGATCACAACACGCTACTCCACAAGGTCTCCGGGGGTCGGAGGACGGTCCTGGCTGCTGGAAGAGGCGAGGCCGTCGGGTGTTGGCATCTCGGTGATGGCCCTAAACCCCGAAACCCCGAAAACCCCTGACCCCTCAACCCCTAAACCCTAAACCCTAAATCCCTAAACCCCTAAAACCCCTATCCCCTAACCCCTAAACCCTTAAACCCCTAAACCCTAAACGGTAATGTCCAAAGCAGCCGGGGCCCCGGCCTCAACTCTTAGCCACGGATGCACACTCGGGAGTGAAACACAGAAGGGTCCCCTTGTCTACCCTAAAGACTCGTGGCATTTTTTTTGCTGAAGGATTCCGTGAGTAGAGGGGCCCTAAACGGGGACCCACCCCAGCGTAGACGCCCCGACACTGCACGCCTGGCCATGCTGCTTGTTGCATGTGATCACATCTGCTCCGAGTGCCGTGAAGATGCTGGGCTCAGCTGGTGTTTCAACTGCGGCAAAACTCAGCCAACGAGAGGAGGTCTCGAGCAAAATGGCGATCCAAGCAAGCTTTCTTGCCACAAAAACGAAAAATAAGCGGTGCCCCAGAAACCCCCCTCTGAAAACGAAGCAAAGCCCACTGCCGCTGGCAAAAAAACAAAGTATCATCAGCGATCATGGAAGAATCAGAAATACATAGAAGCACAGGAAAAAAAACAGACCAATACCACTGACAGCAGAAACCCCTAAACCCTAAACCTTAAACTTAGGTGTGGAGCCGCGGAATGGCTTGGCTTCACGCCGACGGTGAAAGCATTACCGACGTTCAAGCCATGTCCTAGCTTAACCTGAAAGTGAGGCACTTCTCATACCCTGAAGGCGTCTTCGACTGGAAAGCCTCCAAGCCGAGTTGTCGAAGGTTTAGGGCTTAGGGCCTAGGGTTTAGGGTTTAGGGTTCACTCGAAAGTTGCTGGATGGGACGACCGCAAAGATGATCCTGAACACGGTCATGTTAGTGATGGCGATGATGTAAAAAGAATCTGGTGGGATGTTCGCGATGAAGGTCCTGACTGCCATCGTCAGCAGCAGCATCACCACAATTAACACTTGCATCACCACCATTAACAACATCATGATTACCATCGTCGCTGTCAGCAGCAATGTCACCCTCCCCATCGGAATGACATCACAGAATCATCCCAACAAAAATGCGGCGTGTCCGGCCAAACAACCATGGACTCTCAACGACCTTCCTTGGGACGAGCAGTTAGGGGCAGGGTTGGTTACAAAAGGGCGTTCCTGTCATGAGCAAACTGTGAAGGTGCAGAACGTGGGTATGGAGCCCACGGTGCTTGGGACCGAAACTGAAAGGCGAGAGGGATGCTTTCGTGTTATCCAAACCAAAAAATGCCAGGATTTTGAGGCCATGTTCTGGCCCGGCTTGATCGCCTGCCATTTCCTGGTAGACCAAGGACGTCTTGCGGAGCCCACCAGGAGATTTATTATTTCTACCAGCTCGGAGGGTTCGCAAGGTTTAGGGTTTAGGGTAGGTTTGTAGCAGGGAGCCCACGCACAGAGACTTTTGCACAAGCACTCGAATCGGTCGCTTAGCAGCTGCGACTGTCTCCATTGCCTGGTGCGATCATCAAAAGCAATGGCCTTCTACCCTCACAGCCTACTCTAAAGCGACAAACCCTAATCCATCAACCCTGAACGGCGTCGTCGAGGTTGAACCCCGAAGCTGTGTGCAGTTCACGTTCTGGGCTTGCAGCAAGGGCTTCGGGTCAAGTGGGGCTTCCGCGCTTAGGGGGTGCAGAAGCGGCGGGGAGCCGGCGTTCATGGAACCTGTAGGTAGGATCTGGTAGGCTGCTTTTTGCTTCAAGGATTTTGGGCTTGGCAGCGTGCTTCAGCCTGTGAGGCTCTGGGGTCTGGAGTCTCGGTTCGGGTCTATTTGCCTCAACTGCACATCCTGACATGAGGAGTTGACAAAATCTTCGTCATGCACCGCTTGCCGCACTTGCTGAGCCCCGGTAGCTAACAACCGAAGAAGTTTCGAGGAGAGCCGTATGATGCCTTATGCCATTTCGGGACCGGAAGTCATGAACACGAAGAAGTGGCTTCAGGATCCTGCTTTTTCCATGAGCCGTCTCGTCCATCGATCTGAACTGTATAACATGCAGACATTTCGTTCCGAGGTGGGGACATTGTAGGGCTTTAAGTTTAAGGATTCGGGAGTCCGGTTGAGGGACCGGTGGCTCACTGCCGTCGGAACGGGCTTCAACACGTTCCAACAGCAAGCAGCATCTGTTGAGTATTAGATGTGGGGTGTTGATGAGATTCAAGGGCATCCACCTCGCTGCGACGACAGTCAAAACTAGCTTTGGCAGTTGCTCGAGCAACGGAGCATCTGCTTGGCCGGCTCGACAATCAGCATCAACCAGCCAAACATGCCACGTTGTGTACTGAGGCTCCAAAGCATACCTAGACACATGCTTCGTCATTTCTGGACGAAAAGAGTCTTCTACGGCGGAACTGCCTTCAGCAGCTCCACGCTCACTTCTTGGGTTGAGAATGCTTTCGCAGAAGGAAAGTCGTCGGAACCGTATCCGGCTCCATCGAACTTGTGGCCCTCAACCATGTTCTCAACTCCTCCTGCACGCAAGCGGAAAGAAAGGGTCCAGCCCGTTGGCGAGTACAAATAGAGTGCCGACGTGCCATCGGCAGATTCCTCGTCGCCGTATGGATAGAAGGACAGGTACATATCCGGCACCGTCATTTTGGTGAACTTCGGGCTGTCAAGTATGGTTCCCCTCTTTGCCTCCTGGCCCTCCAACTCGGCAGCAAAGTTCCAAACGAAGGTCCTAGCGGTCCTAGCCGCGAGCTCCTCCTTCCTGGCCTTCTCCCGGTCCTGGAGGCTGTCCGACATCGTCTTCCTCCTGGCGGGGACGTGTGTAGGAACCGGGGCAGCCACCTTCAGCGTGGAGAGCTGCTCCTGAGGTCCCCATGACGTCACAAGAAGCAAGCAGACACCTTAGAGCCTTAGACCTACACGTCTTCCCGACTTGGGACAGCACAAGATCCAAGACGAAGCCGGAGCTGCAGAGACTGTAACATGCAGTTGGAAAACGCACCCCCAAGTAACGGGAGGTCTCAGAGGCTGAGAGTTGGGGGTTCATGTTGGCTGATTGACCGCTAGTTCTACCAGCGCACTGCTCCACAATCTTCGGTATAATGGCGTTCTCGCGGCTAGATCTGATCATACGACGCATCCCACTTGCAGGCATGCTTTGGACGTCCGCAAGCCTTGAAGTCCTGCAGCGTGCGCATGCAGGCCATCAGGGACTCCCTCTGGCGCGCGATGCCCTCGTCCTTGGGGAAGAGCTCGTGCAACGCGCTTCCTCCCAGCTCTTCCCGCCAGGTGTCTTCCAGGGTCTCTCCGAGGTGCTCTACCATGTTGAACTTCAGGAGCTTGGCCGCATGCTCCACGAAGCCCTCGATAAGGAAGCCGGTGTAAACATGCAGCGATGCACAGAGCTCCAAGACAGCCAGCTTCTCCGGCTCCTCTTGCGCCTGCTTCACCAACTCCACGAACTCGGGTGTCAGCTGCGGCTCTTCTTCCTTCAACTTTGCTCCCGCGGTTCCTAACAAGGCTTCAGCGATGCTCTTCAGGCCGTCGGCCGCCTCCTGGAACCAAGAGCGGCGGAACTTCGAGAGCTGCACCATGTAGTTGCCGTTCGTCGTGGAGGTCACGGCCTGTGCCTCTGCCAGGCTCTCGCAGAGGCTCCTCGCCTTCGACGTCATCTCGTCGATGGCGTCCTCGGCCGTGCTCGCGAGGCGGTTGGAAAGAACCGGGTGGACCTTGGCATGGAGCGCAACGACACGCTGCACGACGTGGCGAAGATGCTCGGCCACAGAAGCGACCAGCTCGTTCACGGAATCTTTGAGAAGGCCCTCTTCAATGAAAATGCGCCGGATCAAGTTGATGAACACCTGGGGGCCAATCAAGTTCTCGACGGTGTAGCCCTGCACGAACGTCGCCTAAGGTCCACAGGGCTCGATCCAGGGGAAGCCCGCACGACACGCACACCCCTCAGATCCTTTTTCCTTTCCCTGCTCAAAGTCTATGAACTCCACAAAACGGCTTCAAAGAACCCGAAGAAAGAAGTAACGGTTTAGGGTTTAGGGTTTAGGGTTGTTTATGCCGTGCGTCGGCTGACTAGGGAGACCGCTGCAGAAAAAGTGTGGTCTCCGAGGCTTGGATTCAGAAAGGAGCCTCTCAACTCTAGAAACTCTGTAAGATTCATATGGGTAGTTCTCTAAATCCCCTTGCCTTTCACCTGAAAACACTCATCCCAGCACGACCAAGATTCTCTACCCGGCTCCGAAGCCCTAAACCCTAAACCGCTAACCCCTAAACCCTGAACCTGAAAAC